AACCATACCCCTCGATTCTAAGGATCGTGTCATGATCCCAGATAAGTGGCCTTCTCATGTATCAATCAAAAGGTTTTACCATCCCAAGGGAGCTAAAGCTGCAGATCAAACTGAGGATCGACAGCTTCATCAGGGCAAACCGATGGCTAGGAGTGCTAGTGTAGATCGCATAACAGCTCATGTCACTAGATAGATGCATCCTCTATGCTAAGAGTATGCTCATTCAACTGCCAGTCCCTAAAATCGTCTTCCTCTGAGCTTCGAACTATTTGTGATAGCCACGACATTGTGTTTCTTCAGGAAACATGGCTTGCAAAGTTCGAATTGCATACGTTGAATAACGTTCATGAACATTTCAGCGGTCTAGGAACTACCTCCTTCGACTCTGGTAATGGTCTATTGTATGGCAGACCATTTGGTGGGGTAGCTATTTTGTGGAGAAAGGTTCTTCAACCATCGCTTGCAGTTAAGGTTCTCAACGATCGCTGTATGCGCTTGGATATAGTAACTAACGTGGGTCTCGTGTCTCTAATCAATGTTTACCTTCCTACAAATTATAGGGACCTGGATAGCTATGAGAAGTTTTGCATGTGTCTCGGCGAGCTCACATGCGCACTTGAAATAATTCGCGCCCAAACTTGTTTATATGGAATACTAGGGGATTGTAACGCCAATGGATATGGTTCACGTTTTATGTCGGAACTTCTCGAGTTTTGTGAGGATAATAATCTTATAATGTCAGATATGCAATTGTTGGGACCTTTAAGTAGTACATACACATATGTGTGTGCTGCTAACTTCTCTACATCTTGGTTAGATCACTGTCTAACGAACCAGAATTTGCATAATTGTATTGAGGATATTTCAGTCAGTTATCAGATTAGTGCAATCGATCATATGCCATTGTGCGTTACATTTAAGGTTGTACCGTCTGCGACAGTTAAACCTGTCCCTCCTAAGCCTAGGCGTGCCAAGTTGCAATGGGGGAATGCGACCGAGGCAGCAATAACAGCATATAATCAGTACGTGTTTACACGGATACAGCCCCACTTTGAAACTATCACGGACGATCTCCAAGGAGACTGTACAGTAAACTGCAATAGTGCTCAGCATATTGATAGTATTTCCAATATTTACAATACTATGATTCAGGTAATCACTTCCGGTGCAGACCAATGTATTCCGCAAACGTTAGTTCGGCAAAGGAACTCAAAGGCCATTTCGGGCTGGAATCAAAGTGTTAAGCTTAAGCATGAATTAGCTCGCAAAGCTTTTCTTGATTGGAGGCGTTGCGGCTCTCCTAAGGAAGGTGCAGCTGCTTCCCACATGAGACTGACTAGGCTGAGTTTTAAATATGCCATGAGGAAATGCAAAAGGGAGGAAGATCGGCTCTTAGCCAATAAACTGGCTTATTCTCTTTCGGCCCAGAGCCTAGATCGCTTCTGGTTATTGCTTAAGAGACACTTGGGCGGTGGTGTTTCCCTTCCTCTGAGCTTTGGTAATATAGCTGGCGATGAAAAGATTCTAGCTATGTGGAAGGAATATTTCATGTCAGTTTTTAATGATCGTAGCTGTAGTAGTGACTTTGCTGTCATCGCTGACCTACCATCTGGTAGGGCTAATATGACACCACCAATAACTGATGAAGACGTGCTTTCTGCTCTTCGTCAGCTGAAAAGTGGGAAAACAGCTGGACACGATGGGGTGTCTGCTGACCACCTGCTACATCTACATGCAGAATCTTTGCCATGTCTTTTGGCACATTTGTTCAATTGCATGCTAAATCATTGTGTGCTTCCTGACAGCCTAATTTATTCTTTGTTAGTCCCCATTGTCAAGAATAAGAATGGTGCGTTGGACGACAAATCAAATTATAGGGCTATAGCCCTATCGACAACCATATCAAAGGTGTTAGAACTTATTCTGGTTGAAAAGCTAGCTCCCTTCTTAAAGACATGTGAATCCCAATTTGGATTCAAGGATGGCCATTCAACATCTCATGCTGTTTATGCATTTAAAGAGACAGTGAACTATTACACAGAGCGAGGCAGTTCGGTGTATGTGTCCTTTTTAGATGCGAGTAAGGCGTTTGACAGAGTGTGTCATGCCACGCTTTTTAAGATACTTGATCAACGAAAAGTTCCCCCAATATATTTGAAACTTCTTATACACTGGTACGGGCATCAGAGAATGAGTGTCAAATGGGCCAGTAAGGAATCAGTGTCATTTTCCATCCAGAATGGTGTAAGACAGGGCGGAAACCTCTCCCCACTGCTATTCAATGTATACATTGATGATCTGTTGATTGAGTTGCGTTCTCTTCGAACTGGATGTTTTGTTGGCAATTGTGCCGTCGGTGTCATCGCCTATGCGGATGATATAGTGCTTCTATCCCCCACCAGACAAGGGCTTCAGACTCTGGTGGATCAGTGTGAATGTTTTGCTGTGTCCAGAGATATAAGGTTTAATGTGCAAAAAACTGTGTGCATGGTTTTTAACCCTAGGAAGCCTTATAAAGCTAGTCATTTAATGAACTCTAAGGAGCCAAAAATCGCACTGTGTGGTGAAAATCTGAAATGGGTCAGTCAATTTAAATATCTTGGCCATATCATTTCTAATGACTTATGTGATGTGCCCGATATTCGAAGGGTAAAGCGTTCAATGTACTATATGACCAACATGCTTTATGCAAAGCTCAGGCATGCTAATAAGAGTTTACTTATAAAATTATTTAAGTCATACTGTACACATATGTATGGATGTGAACTATGGAATGTTGATACCAATCAGAGATCTCTTCGTGAAATGCATGTAGCGTATCATCGGTGTATTAAAAAGCTTATGAATTTGCCACTTGGAACCAGAAATCATGAACTGTGTCATCGAGTCAAATTACTTACTTGTCCTATGCTTCTGGCTAAAAGACAGCTCATGTTTCACCGTCGCATCAATCAAAGCAGTAATGGTATTGTCCAGTGTATTAGAAATAGTGTAATAGGCCGTAATGGATTATCTGCGAAAGCTAGCCTCGCAATACGGAGACGCTACGACCTACTAGGCTTGGATTTCAGTGTCATAACTCCATTTGACTTACAAAACATATTTATGTCGAACATTGAGCGTATAGTCAATGCACGCATGATGAGGCGGGACCAAGGCGGGACCACCTAGATGTAATGACCTAGTTGCCTGACTGGGCAAAACGTAGCTGTGCTATGTCTGCATGTTCGTGTGTTGTGTTGGTGTGTATTGTTATGTGTTGAATATGTACCGTGAAATATCGGTGTGAAATAAATGGATTATTATTATTATATATTATTATTAATATGCAATTTCAGCAATTTCGAATTGTGTGGACTCCTAAAGCCTGAACCGCATGTCCTTGACTAGCTTCCTATTTGTGAGAAGAAGAAAAACTTCATAGACTCGTAGGCATATAATCTACCAGTGTGGTATTTATTATTTTCACTATTTTGCTGTTAATATTGCTCCTCAAGATAATTACGCGTATCTAAACTTAACTTATTGCTGTATGGTAGAGGCCTCAACAAAAACGATCAGATCAAAGTAGCGAAATTATTCCAAAATTATATTATCAAAACTAAAAGATTCCAGAACCAATAGCATCCACCGGCGGACGGCGGGCCGGACGGTTCGTCGTGTCGCCTGGGGGTAGCAACTTTAATTTCAACCAGCGAGCGGTGGGTGTGGCGCGGCTTGGCGGTGGTCAAACAGACTTGTTTTCATATTATGTTGTGTTTTTTATGTAATACTCACGTTTATTTTATACTGATTGATTAAGAGAGGTGCTTTAATTTAAGAATTTTTATTCTTTTGCACCAATCTTATAATATTTTTGTGTATGTTTTGCTCATGTGTAATGTTGAAAATCAATGTGTATGTATGTATGTATGTAACAAGTGACGCAGGTACAGTCGCATTGTTGTCGCTGGTTTCGATGTATATTATTAACCCGCACCGCGCGCCGTGCTGGTGGCCTGAGTTTTCCGTGTCGTGTTTGGGGGTCTCGTCTAACTCGGCTCCTGGGCCACGCAGCGACACGCGGTAAGCAGCAATCGCAAGAGCGTCAAAAAGAATGACGGAAACACATAATTCATTTCTTAGGTCAGGTCAAAGGTCAGGTAGCCAGAGGTCACCAAAGGTAAAGTCTAGTCCATTTCAACATTTTTGGAAACTGCCAACGGCTAACTCGGGAACCAATAGAGCTACAGCGCCGTGAAAAAACATTCGTTAGCCCTCTGAAATTTTTGAGCATTGTTCTCAGATTTGACCAAAGGTCAATGATTTAGCCTCCAAGTCCAGTGGGCAAAAACTAAAAATAACCGTTTTCACGAGACATTTTTTCGGTATTATATAATACTGAACGAGGCCGGTGTAAATAAATTTTCAAGACCGAGGTCCTTACTGAATTTTTGAACGAGGCCGAAGGCCGAGTTCAAAAATCAGTAAGGACTGAGGTCTTGAAAATTTATCACCGGCCGAGTTTGGTATGTATTTTACTGTATGCCAACGATAAAATAATTGTCTAGACCGAAGCTCTTAGCCGTTTTTTGAACGAGGCCATCCCAAAATGTTGACTTGGTAATTCGTTTTTGACCGTGGTCAACTTGCTTACACCAGTTATTACCACACCCCTCTGGCTAATGTATTTGAATAGGCCAGGCATACAGTAAAAATATGACTTTTGACCCAAGAGATTCACGATATTCATTTTGCCAGCATCGTGTTCCTCTCGTCTAGACGCATTGAATGAACTATACGTTGACCTTGAAAGGTTATTTTGAAAATTTGATCTTGGTGGTTGGGATTACCCCCCCCCCCCCCGAGCCTGTGAGGGAGTTGGTAGTTAGCTTTGAGGTCTTTAGTGTGCGAAGTACAGGTTAAAGTGCAGTGCACCAATTATTGATATTGCAACGACTGTACGCTTGACATTTCGTTTTCAAGCCATTGCCCCCCATATCTGCATCAAACGGGTAACGTATGTGTGGTAAGACGTATATTACAACTGACAACATAACATGATATCGTACGTCAACTATATAATAACCAGGTGATAGAACATGTATAACCATTTGGGGACGTCCTGATGACAAAGTTGCATGATGATGAATGAAAAGGGTTCAGCATAAGATACAAATATTCCTGACTAGAAGAACTGCTGCTGCTGAACGAACTGCTGGTCGTTGATGATGGTACCCTGGCTTTGGTTCTCAGCCCAGAACAGCTCCGGGTGCTCCTGCCTCAGCTGGGCGTACTCGGGAATCTGAGCCGGCGCCACTGGCAGGTGAGGGGCCTGCGGCTGGAAGCCACCCTCGTTGGCGGTGTAGTCCACCCGGTAGGTGTTGCCGTCGTCACCGACGAACTCGAAGCTGCCCTGCTGCTCCAGGGTTCCGGTCTCTGGCTGGGAGCCCGGGGCGACGCGGCCAACTTCCTGTACCTGAAAACATTGCGAGAGTCGGTCACAACCTTCACCCTGATTCGATGTGCTCTGCATATCTCTGCATATTTACGTTGCAAATAGCATGCAGAGTGCATGATTATCTAAATCATAGCACAAAAGACAAAGGTATTGAGTGTATAAATGACCGATGAATGTACGACAAGGGCCATCAATGAAGAGAAGCCGTTTCTTTTCTTTTTGTTTTATGTTTTTTGGTAAAGCAATTTATTTAGGAATGTACCTAAACTCAAAGTACCTATCACTCAAGGTAAAATAACTCAAAGTTCAATATGCACCCTTGAAAATGAGTTAGCAATTGGTTTGATTAAACTCTAATTGTGACAAATTTGGAGCCCACTGCTCTTTTACCTGCTGTCCGTTGTCCTGCTGGTATCCGTACTCGTAGTTTCCAATCTGATCCTGCTCAAACTTCTGGCTGAGAATGCGGACTTCCGGCTGGAAGGGCTGGATGGGACTGGTGAACTGAGGGTCGAACTGAGGAGCCGCCGAGGCAGCCGCCACCAGCAGGAGAGCAACGAACTGAAAATGAAAAAAACAGAGTCAAATTCAAACTCCTAACAGTCCGTGGTTACCTACTGTTGGCATTTCAACCAGAGGATATCTTGGAGGTGATGAAAAGTCGATCCCTGCACCGATGCGTTATGCTAGGACGCACTTGGCACTTTTGGCCTTTTCTGTTCTACTCATGTGCCCAAGTACTGGCCACATCGCTATGATATTCACCACAGATCACTCGTGGTCACACATCACTATCCGTTTGCAGCTGAGAGAGAGCACCTACCATCTGCATGGCTGTGATCTGGTGGAACCTTTGGGATCGGATGACCACTGGACGGCTGCAGGCAGCTTATATACCGACCTGCCGCCGTCTACAGGTGTTGGCTAATAGTTTGCACGTCTGATACGGGCTCAGATTGCGTCTCACCCGCGCTGCCCCTGCTCCCGGGCCCGGTGTCCGCTGTCGGCATGAAAACCGGTCAGTTTGCAAATCGGCCGGTTTGCAGGCTAATATTGGTAAGTGATCAATGCACCGAAAAGATAGTGTCATGTGTTTGATTTAGATTATACGTTTTGCGCATATTTTTTTCTATTTTTCATTACATATATGCCGCAAAATGACTCAGAAGCAACTATCTTTTGGTAATATGGAAAACCTGCTGAGAACATATTTTATGGGTTGTAACTCTTATTTGAAAGGCAAGCCAAGACAAGAGTGGCAGTGTTAACCCTCGCCCGTAAACGGTGTTCTGCCACCTTCGCCCATACAGGGTTGGTGCGACCCCCCCCCCCCCTGGCGTTTGAAAACGGAGCGTCGTAGAGCTTAGCGGAAAAGACCAACGGATTGCTCTCAACGAGATCTCGCGATTGGTGGTATATTTTTGGTCCTAGGTCAACATTTGACCTCCTTATGACCGGTCAAATGTCAAATTTTCGGAAAAATCTAACTTTTTCAGATTTCCGCGCCGATTGTGGCAAAACGGTAAGAGATATCGACTTGAAACCTTCACTATCGTGATCCTCGATCAATTCTCTATCGTTTGGTGTGTATTTCGATGTCATAACTCTAAAAATGATGCGTTGGGAGCATCGGAAGTCTGCAAGGTCATTTGTGCATTGGGTCACGTCAGGCGTGTGACGTCACTGACCTGACCCTGACCCAAAATGAACTACAAGAAACAACTGACGATGCCTGAAATGGATAGCAAATTCGAATTCAGGGCATCAAAATACCCCGAAAAGGCATACAAGTGCAAGAAGTCATTACAGGTCAACCGAGGTCACTGACCTGACCTTGACCTTTAGTAACCTTGAAAAGGTCAACGGACATTGTGCCAATGTCAAATCAGCCAGTTATGATTCCAGGGGCGTCGCCACGGATTTTTGAGTGGGGGGGTCGGGTTTCTAGCCTTCACCCGATGGGTAGGGGTGTTTTTTTTTTTTGTCACACTTCCCAGTTTTGTGCGTGCGTATGTGTGTGTGTGCGTGTGTAACAAATCGGCGCGCAACGCCGCCAAATTTGGTATAACCTATTAGGTAGGTATACCTACCTACATCACTTGCGTAAAAATTATCACTGGTCACTTAAGGTCAGGTCGCCATGTCAAGTTCAGTTATACGGTATACCTCTATAAAAACTTTCCCCTCTCGCCATTCTTGTAGCTTTTCTCCCATAACTTCGAAATTTGGTACACTGTATAGGTACCTAATGTATGGGGTTATACGTGTCAGCAATTCATGATTCTAACTGAGGATTTACATCTATGATCTGAAGGCAGGTCAAATACGTGACCTCATCATTAGAAAATGGGTGGAGACTTCCACTGGCGTCCAACTGGCATCTAACTGAGCAGACGTCCAAGTTGGCGTCTAACTTGGCGTCTAACTGTTGGACGGAGACTTCCAAGCAAGACGCGTCTAAAGTAAGCTGTCGCCAGATAGATGCAGCCGCCGTCCAGCTAGACGCGTCTAAGACTTAAGACGCGTCTAGCTAGACGCGAAATGGAAGTCTTCACCCTGAGAAATTAGAAAAAGCACGAATGCCTCCTGCTTTGAAAAAGTTCGTCAGAAACGCAAAATATCTTTGGAGCCATGACAAATCAGCTCATCATTGCCAGGGACAGGGTGCAACTTATGGCGAGTGATGACTCGAAAGGTCATTAGTGGAAATGTCCATCGATGGCCACCAGCATTTTTTTCTACAACTTTTGACGAAGACGCGGTTGAGCGATGACAGCACCTGGAAGGTGTTCACTGTTCAGCTCAACAACACGGATCCATTCATATGCAGCAGGAGGTCCTTTTTCGATCAGGACATAACGTTGACCTGAGGTCGTTTTAACGTTAATTCTGAATGGTCAAATTTTAACTCATGTGACGCGTCTCAAAGAGATCAAGACGGTGGTGACAAGACAACATATGTAAATACCATACGAATTCACGGTTTCGAAAGTTATTGCAAAGCAGATGTTTCGGCAGAATCTGTCCAGTTAGCTGTTTGCCTTCTTATGGGCCAAACATAGGCCTGAGATGAAATCTAACGCGAAGCTAGCGAAAGAGCGTTAAAAGAGCTATCGAATAGTTTTCTGCTTCACTGTAGCCCTTCTATTGGTGGTTTCCCAGTCGCTAACGTATAACGCATACTTAACTAACGCTGAGGCATGCTTTCGACCCCTGATCGATCTACAGGTTTGCGGAAAAAAGAGCATGCTGCCCGTGACGAGAGAAAGCCGATGATACCCATTTACAAGTTTTCGGGTCATCTCAGGACTCAGGTCATCGCCAATAAGTAGAGAAACTCGGGACCTGCTAGAACTTAACGAATGTAAGTTGTGATGGTTTTTCGAGGTTCTGATTACGAATGTTGTCTTAGTTTTGAACGAAGATGATGACTCCATGCATTTGGGGTAGATCAGGTCAGGTCAGATCGACCAGTACCTAATAGTGGATGACCACCACCGATTGCTTCCTAGCATGTTATATGAATAAGCAACACAACTACTTCTTAAATGTTCAGATGGGCGCTAAGTTCAAAATCAGCTCCAAAAACTAAAATCAATTAAAAGCACGTTATGAAAAAGTGAACTAAGGTCATCTTTATTTGAATCAGGGATATCGATTTATTTTAAGTAGGTGATTAACTCGAGCGCACCGGAAGTTTTGTTGCAATCGGCTCCTTTTTGCGCGACTTCTTTGCGAAAGCCCGAGACGGTTAACCATCTGACTCCCTTTCCCCTACATGTGCACTGTACAGCTAGTTTGTGACGGTAGCCATGGGGCTGAGGCTAGTTTGTAGTTTTGTAGTTAGGTACTGATCCGACGAATCGACTGCGACCATTTTTTTAAAACGATCAGACGAACGCTCGGGGCAGTTTTGGCGCGTCCAATCCTTTGAGGGATAAAAAGGTACTAGGATGGGGGCTACTTAAAAACATTGTTGTGCTGGTGTTCCCCGCCCACAGCTAATTGACCTTTAGGTAATTGGCTAATTGGCTTTAGGGAGCTCTTGAAGCGATTTTGAGTCTGATGTATTTGTTGGTGTTGCTGACGCCTGCTTCACTGACATAAAAGCTAAAAAAGCATACTCAGCATCGCAAAAAGTGGGGGGGGTCGACACCCCCAGTTTTCAAGAGTGGGGGGGTCACGACCCCCCCGACCCCCCCGTCGGCGACGCCCCTGTATGATTCTAAAACAATCCATCAGTGTGTCAGGTCAGTCGGCATTTATACCATTGTGAAGCAATCTCCAATTTAGCGTAAATCTGGCCGGAGGTTGTTCCCTTTATGACGTCATAACTCCGTGACCTGACATGACCTTGACAATTTTTTTTACCAAAGTTGCGCAAAGGATGCCCCAAAGGGTACTGAAAATTTGAGCAGGCTATCTGAAACAGTTCGGCGTGTAGCTAAGAAAAACCTCAGGGGGGGGGGGGTTGCACCCCCCCCCTACATGGGCGAGGGTTAAATACAGCTCTAGCTCACAATTTAGTCCGCGCTTGACTGAGCCTCCAGCCAACACCATTGCTTGGGGGGGATCCACGCCTTAACCCGCGCATGACTGGGCGGGGGGGGGGGGCTTTACAGAGCCCCCTTCCCGTTTTTTAGCAATATCTTCTGAACCGTTTGACGGATCAACAGGAAACTTGCGGTACCTTCAAAGGCATCAATTTAACACCTTGCGTTAAAATTTCAACTTTTTAGCTACCATAGTTTGACCGGAAATGACGTCAGAGTGACGTCATGTCGGCCGATTTTCATGCAAAATACAGAATTACGGCAAACGCTCTCAAGAGCTCAGTTTTAAAGCTAGATGATAGATCCTTTTTTTTTGCATGAGTGGACTGCAAATACACGTATAGCTATCAAACTGCTATCTCGAATCTTCGATATTTTGAACATTTTGAAAAATTTGTATTTACAATTACAAAAAGTATATTTTTTTTCAAAAAAGTTTTTGACTTTTCGCAAAAACCGGAGTATATGTGATAGAACACCCACTGATAAACTACATTTGCAAGTTGTAGCCCAATATCTTCAAAAATAGCCAAGTTATTCGCATGATTATCAAAATTTTACAATCTTATGTTTTTTTCTTCTCAAATCCATTTTTCAGTACATTGTTGACGTCGTACAGCAATATAAATGGCACCATCGTGTTCCTGAGCTCAAACTGCATCTGATAAACAACTTTTTTGTTGAAAAATTTCATTTTCAAAATTTGACCTTTTCTGACCTGAAAGTGACCTGACCTCCGGTAAATTCAGCTGACAATGACCTCAAATGACACAGACGACACTATTTTCGAAATCTACGAGCTAAATGGACCATAAGACATGCGTCACGTGAGCGATACATGATATACAATTTTCGTGACCTAGGATGACCTGGCCTTGACCTTAAAAATTCGAAGTAAAAGTTCGCTACCCTCAGGGTATCTAAGGCATCCGCCAAGGAGTGCGTAAACCAAAAATGAGCCTGATCAGACCGGCCGTCCGGTGGTCGGAGCCTAAATTGTGAACTAGCAAAAATGTCGATAATTTTTACTTTGACCTGACCTGTGACGTCATCGATGACCTCGAGGTCAATGACAATAGGTTTGGCTCGACAATTTTTCCAGGGCTATCAGACGCCGTTTGCATTTTGACGATCGGCTCAGTAGTTTCGGAGATAGGAGGGGGGGGGCTCTGGAGAGCCCCCCCCCCCAGTCACTCTCGTTATGGAAAATACCCCAGTCATGCGCGGGTTAAGGCATCCCTGCATTTGATTAACTCCATGTTCTTTTATTCCCAACCAAAATATGTCGATGATACAGCTGTCAGTATCCGGAGTTTGATGCAATCACGAAGCTGGCTATAGCAGGAGTGCGTTATATCACTGTG